TGCTCAGGCAAAGGTGCGCATCCATGATCCATGCATCAGCGGAGACTGAGGCGGTGAAAGCCCTAGTTTGGTTTTGGATAATTGATGAAACCTATGGACTAATCCTTGAGCTAAGTGTGTAGACAAGAGAGGATAGTCCAAAGCTAAGTGGTGGAGCTAGATGATGGTCATGGTGATGGTGGTGACCAAAAGAGATGATCATGTGCTCCAACTTGGAAAAAAAAGAAAGAGAAAAACAAAAACAAAAACAAGTGTTGATCAAGGCAAAGGTATTAAATAGGTTTTTATTTTGGTGATCAAGACACTATAGAGAGTGTGATCAAATTTAATATCGATAGTCGTACTATAAAAAGGGAAAATCTTTGGCTAAGCGGTTATCGAGTGCCACTAGGTGAAGTCATAATTGCATATGCATTGAGGGAATTAGTGTGCTAACAATTGATCCTTGAAAAATGCTTGGAAAAATGCTAACACACGGGCACATGAGTTGTACACATTATGGTTAGCGACTTGGAAGCAAGAGTGAAGTGTTGGAAAAAGAAAAGGAGAAGTGACCCTACTGGCGTAGGGGGTCCGAACCCAGGGGAGAGTCCGGTCCGGACTCAAACACTAGCTGAGGGGAGCTTAATGAACTCCAGACCCTGTCTGGCAGGGGTTTCGGACCATCTCGGCAGAGTCTAATTGTGGACACAAGGAGCAGCGCAGCTGCTCCGGACCCTGGCGGGTTGATGGCCCGGAAGGAGGCAAATGGATCCGGCTAGATGTGCGCGTATGCTGGAATTTGAATAGGGCGACATGGCGTGTGGAGGTGATCTGGACTCGCACTATGCGTGGTCCGGTTGCCTGAAGTGGGTTGAGTCTATAGTCAAAATCGCTCTTGGGGAGCTCTCTGCATGATTTTTGCCTCAACCAGGCCCGCGCGAGTTCGAGGGTCCAGACCCAAGCTCCCGAGTCTGGTCTGGAGGCGTCTGCCTCTACGTGTTTGAGCTAGCCATTGGAAATGTGTGGCTGTGGTTCAAAAGGAGGATGCGTGGCACAAATCCAAGAACTGGACCCTCTCTATAGTTGGTCCGGAACCTGGGTCCGGTCCCTTGGTCCGGTCGACCCCGAGTGAGCAACAGCTAGTGATGGTCTTTGACCTTTATAAATAGAAGGGGCCCGCCTTGGGCTCACTCCCTTGCACATTTTTATCAATGATACATCATTGTGAGCCTAAATAAACACCTCCCACTCATCTCGTCCACTGATTTATTATCAAAGTGAGATTGTGAGTGATTCCTAGTGCATTTACTTGAGAGATTGCATCTAGTGGCACTTGGGGATAATTGTGGCTGTGGATTTCTTGTTACTTTTGGTGGTTGCCGCCACCTAGACGGCTTGGAGCAGCGGAGGAGCATTGGCACAAGTTGGTGATTGTTCGTAGCCATCTCTTGGTGATTGTGAGGGGTCTTATACCTTTCCCGGCGGAGAGTTAAAAGGTAACTCTAGTGGATTGCTCGTATCATTGAGTTATCTTACTTGTGTGTAGGTTTTTATGGTGCTCAAGTAGTGGGCTAGATGTGTGATATCTATTAGCCGCCAAATCACCAAGTGTTTGTCGACACAACGGAGACTAGCATACTGACAAATACGTAAACCTCGGGAGAAAAATTAATTATCTTTGTGCATTAGATTTCTCCTTGGATTTCGAATTGTGATTGATCGTCTCTCGCCGCGTGACCCGCGTGGTAGCGATGACAACAGCGACAGGGCCGTCAGGTTCAGGTTACTTAGCCGCGTGACCCGCGTGAGCTCCACGTGCGCCAGGACCAGGAAGAATAATATATGTGTGTGTGTGTTGACCATCGCGGTCAACTGGCCGTTGGATGGAGCTGATCCACGGCCTCAAGCAGTCAAGCGTTGTTGTGTTTGTTGGTGCTCTGGGGTTCCATGGAACAGCGGCAACGCGGTCGTTGCCTTCTCCATCGGAAGCAAAGCCGCAACTCACTTTTACATACAAGGCTAGGCGCTGATGGTTTTACTGAAAGATTTGTTTGCTCAGAATATGAATATTTGTCCCAAAAAACTCCTAGGTTCTGCACAAAGCTCTTGGAATATACTTGGCCAAAGAAAAACCTTTCGAGGTTTGTTTTTTAAGCTGGTATAGTCTTGCCTATAGTTTATTATAGATGAGGCCTACAAGCAATTGGTGTTTCCTATAAGAGCATCTCCAAGAGTTTGCCAAAACCACTTGCTATTCTTGGTTTTTTGGCAAAACTAGAAAAATCAAACTCCAACAGTTTGGCATATGGCTTGGCAAATTTTCCCAACTTGCCATCCACCGGTCGTTCACGCGCATATTTGCGCGCGGTAGGGGACTTGCCATCGCGTTGCCATCGCGTGAATTGCCGGCCCCGCCTCCTCTCCCGCGCGCAGATGGAACTTTCACCCTGCGTTTCCCTCGCCACCCAGGCCTCGTACCGCTTCATATATCCCTGGCGCGACTCGAAGAGCCAGCTGCGCCGGCGTCTTCCTCGCGAGGACTGGATCCAGATCCCATCGCGAAGTGCCTCCTGGACTCGAACAGACACAGTCGCGGCGGCCGCCCTACTCCCGATCCTGAGGTACGTCATCCTTGATCTAATCTCAGTCCAACTCCATGCCTTGATTTGGTTCCCCTAGGGTTCATATGCCTTGATTGGGTTCAGCGATGATGGTTCATATGCCTTGATTGGATTCAGCGATGATGGTTCATATGCCTTGAATGATTCTGCTAGGGTTGATTTTTGTTGCGTGCTAGGTTTCATATGTGGTAGTGGTAGATTCACCTACCATTCATGCCTTGATTTGTATTTTTTGTACTGAAACAAAACAGCAACCTAGTTCTTCTTGTTAATTAGTGGTAGTTGTATTTTTTTTATAGGAATGGAGATGCAAGTAGATGACCCAAATTTCTTGTCGAACATTCTTGGAGAAGTTGAAGCTGGTGCTGGTTTGGAATTCGTACAACCTAGATCATTGGATGGGAACTTTCCTCGGTATATTGCAAGAAACTAAAGAATATAGAAATTGCAATACGTATAACCTAGATCATTGGATGCTGAACCGATGGGAACATCACCTGGAGGTCTTGGAGGAGATGGCCGTGCCTTGGACTCGCTGGCTCGATGAACAGGATTGCTGGCCGGATGAGAGATCGATGTTGGGGGCCAGCGGAGGATGAGATTTGGGCGGCTGCAGGAAGCGGCGATGTGTGGCGGCGCGCGGCCAGGCGAGGAGTCGTGGGCGCCAGGCGAGGAGTGTCGTGGGCGGCCATGTGAAGCGTCGAACAAAATTAGTTGCCGGAGGTTTGGAAGTGGGCCTACTTTTTAAGTTTTGGCAAGCCCATATGACAAACTATTGGAGAGACTACAAAATTTCACTAGTCATATGTTTTAGCAACTTGCCAAATCACAAGATTTGGCAAACTCTTGGAGATGCTCTAAGTAACTTGCTAAACCAATAAATTTGGCGAGTTAACAAAATAAGTAGCAACCTTAACTTATTTCTCTCTCCAATAATTTCCCATATTAACTTCCTAAATGATTTTGTATTTAGAACAACTAACCAAATCTATTCTAATAGTTTCTTTGTCTCTTACCCCGTTTTCTCACTTGGAACCCTTTACTTTTTTAAATTTACTCATGGGTTCAATTTACTCCGATTTTTGGAGGATGTTTGATAACTTTTTATTTTTTATTAAGGAGCTCTTTTACCAAACTATCGAAGGAATCTTATTCCTTTTTACTAAAAAATTGAAATAGAAAGTTATTTTACAAAACTCATGCAGATGCTGTAACTGAGTTCCAAAAAGAAAGAAGAGGAATTGAGGCCTTGTTACTGCTACTTACTGCTCTTTCAGCTACTTTGGCTAAACCAGAAGTTGCCAGTCTCCTTCGGCTAGCTCACCTACCGTCATAATTAGGGCCTCTTTGACACGGCTTATGCCGACTTCACCTTTATCTATTTTGCGCAAATGAAGGCACTGTAGCGTGAAGTCGTTTTGTAAGACGGGGTTAAAATGAACTAGAAGCCAGAAAAAACCATTTTTTCTGGCTTCACCGGCTTTGGCTTTATCGGTGAAGCCGTTTTGAATAAACCTTGCCAAAGGGGCTTCAAGCTCCTTTGGCTAATCAGTCCATATACACGGACGAAAGGTAGGGTGAGACCTCACAAACCATTATATATAAAAAAAAAAACTCACCAAAAAACAATATTGGTCGCTTAAGCTCGACTATTACGTGTTCACCAGCTTGTGTTCGTGGACATAGAAACACAAAGAAAAGAAAGATGCAAACCATACATATTACTAGTTTACTACTAGTTCACAAGGATGTACATAGCATACGTGATATTAATCGTATTATACTGCAACTGTGCTACATGTAGAGTAATGTCGAAGACTTGTGGCAAGAATTCGTCAAAAACAGAGGAGAGAGGATGGCCTATGTCATTGCCAACCAATGGAAATGGATCCACGAAAAGACAAAGTTTCCATCTCCCTTCCACGCACGCCAACTCTATGATGATTCAATCCACGCACGCAAGCTAAATTGCATCAGCGCGCAATAATTGACCAGAAAAGAAAAACCAAGCAAAAGCTTGTACATCTAAGATAAACTCAGCTCGTGTACGACTAAGAAAGCATGAAGCGATAGATAACAGCAACCACGTACGCGCAGCCGTTGATCGATGGATTCATTTTTACCAATCTGATTTGAAACAACCCCTTGAATTACATCATCTCATCAGACACTTGGACTGACTCTGACTGGAATCAGATCACCAAGAACAACATCTACCAAAGCCAAACAAGTAGAAGGAAAACGGAAACACATTTTTTTCCCTCTTAGTATATACTGTATGTACTCACCATGAATCCATGATGATATAGTATCAAGCAACCTGCAAAGCATGAAAAACAGAGAGGAGGCAGATCGAGCCAAAACCATGGAGTATTACATGCATCCATCCTTTGAGGATCAGGACCATCCGTAGACGAGGTTGAAGTAGCGGTCCTTGATCCACTTGAAGCTCTTGCGGAAGGAGCCCTTCACCTTGCCCTCCACGCCGTACGCCTTGTACGCCGCCACCCGGCGCTTGCGATCCAAGTCCGGGTCCGCCAGCGCCAGCCACCGCCGCTTCGACTTGCTCCGCTTCACCTCCTCCCCCGCCCCCGCCCCCGCCCCCGGGCCGCCGTACTCGTACTGGTACGAGTAGGAGTAGGACGACGTCCCCATCCCCCCCCCCCGGCGCTGTACGAGTAGGACCGGAAGTCCGGCCGCACGCCGCCGCCGTAGTACGGCTCGATCTGCATGCGCCCGCCCGCGTACGACTTGGACCGGTCCATGGCTACCAGGCAGGCTATGGGTGGGTGGGTGGGCTCTTGCTACTGACGGTCGAGGCAGAGGAGGGGGAGGAGAGGGAGAGGGAGAGGGAGAGGGAGAGGGAGATGATGACCAAGAGCACACGGCGATTAGTAATAGATTAGCGATGGTGATGGTTGGGTTGGGACGACGAAGCAGAGGAGAAATGGTTTGGAGGTGGAAGCTGCGGTGGTTGCGAATATGTGCTCCACTCGATTGGATTGGATGGAATGGAAACGCGCGGTTTTGTCAACTGCCTGTGTTGAAATATCGCCAGTTGACGTAGGAGTTTTGCTCAAAGAACCCAAATATTTTTTCCCCTGCTTTTGATGAATTCTGGTTAGAAGAAAAGAAGGGGCTCTGTTTTCAAATAATCTAGAGGAGGCGCCGGCTGTATCTGTATGGATGATGATGTGGTGGTCTGACTTGATTTAATTTGAAGCGGGCCGGGACAAGACAAATTGTTGCGGCGGCAGACTGCCAGTGGTATCTTCTGGTATGGTAGGTTTACTTACACATGTGGTGCGAACGAATTAGGGCTGATTGATTGATTGTTACGCGGAAACCAATTCAGTTTGGTTCGTGGTCGGCCACCTGACGCGGAGAGCCAAGGTGCCAGCAGGTGCCAGCAGAGTCCACGTTACCACGTATGCATGGGCTATCTGTGCATGGTTTCATGGTTTGGTTCCTCCAAGCTCTCCGTAGGTTTCATGTCAAGCCTGTGAACACCAAAAGGTTCAATTTTTGCCAGGAAGGCCCCTAGGTGTTGTTTTGCGATGCACATGTTCTATTACTTTGGTATGTTTTCGATTCCTACGCCAACAGCCCAACACACTATTTGATGGCTCCAGAAAAAAAAAAGATAAATCCACAGTTATGACAAACCTAATCTGTTAAAGATTGCAATGGCAAACTTTCATTTATGAGTTGGTTAGGTTCCTCGTAGTGGAACCTGTTCATCCGGATTCAAGTCCTTGAGTGGGCACGTGTGCTCGTATTTTTCTGAATTTATTTTAGGATTTAACGGCGCTATACTTTCAGTGGTAGGCACGTTCCCGTCGACAGTGAGACGCCTGTAGTGACTTTGTAAATCTCGAGATCTGTTGGCTCAGTCCTTGAAGGGTGCTCATAGGGGTATGTTTGGTTATGTGTGTTCATATGGAGTGAGTGGGCGTCTACGTTGTACCGTGTAATTCTTAAAAAATTATCAAGTGCAATATTGATGAACTTTTAGAAAAGAGTTGTCAAAGATTCTTCGAGGAGCTTAAGGTAGAGGAGGATCTACGGTTGTACCTCTCCCACTTCAAGCATGACCTACAAGGCCTTGTCATGAGCTACCTTTGTCACTGTACTGTATATCAATTTTAAGTCAAAGCTTTTTCAGATCTGACCAAATTTATAAAAAAGGTGCTAAGATTTATAACACTAAATTAGTAGCATTAGATTAGATACACCATAAACTATATTTTCATAATATGGTTATTTGGTATCATAAATATTTGTATTTTTTCTATAAATTCAGTAGGCATAAAAAAGTTTGACTTAAAATAATTCTAAAAATAATTTATTTAGGAACGGAGGGAGTACATCAAAGAAGTCACCTTCGTTCCTCACACTGAGGTAAAAAGACCCATGTAAATGAATTATCGTCATATCCAAATACAATAGGTCAAAAGTAGATACTATGTTTGCTTCATTCAAGCCAGATATGATTGCCTTCGTTCAATCGTTGGCATATGGTAATAAGGAAAAGCACAAACAAACCTTCAATAATGCATCTACTTTCTTTGGCCGTACATATGTTCGGTTTTCTCTCCCATAGAGCTTGTCTCGCCTCATGTTGCCTTGCCGGCATAAGAGTCAAATTGGCTTGTCCATGTAAGTAAAGAAAATCCTTGCTTTCATGGGCTACAAAGGCTGCTGGAAAGGTGACGCAAGCATCAACTAAGGCAAAAGGGTGGAGCTAGAACTTGGGCTAGGAGGGTGCTACCTCCATTTCACCTCTAAAATCTGTTAATTCCAAGCATAAGGAGCAGTATTCTAGCCACCGGAGCAAAACAGTATAAAGAGATTTCATTGTCAAGACAGGTGCTACGCCAACAAATTCTACATTTTATAAGGTTTATTAATGCAAATATAAAATTAATATACTTATTGGTTATTAACCACATCTGATTGTGTGTTGCATGTAATAAATAGGCCAAACCTTAAGTCAAATATTTTCCTCTCCCTCTATTTCAAAGTTCTAACTAAATTTTATTGAAATAATAATTTAAAATGTTTCCATTAATACGACACCTTATAGAGTTTCTAAAACTAAATTCAATTTCCCTTTTTACAATAGAAAATAGGGATTGAATTCCAGCTCTTAATTAAATTCAATTCAAAGCCTCAAATGTTTCTTCTCAAAAAACCCAAACCCTCCCTCTCATCCCTATCAAAAGAAGGTTTTCTAATTAATGTGTGTGTTTCACATACATGTATGTGTGAGATGGTTTGTGTTTGGTTTCACTTGGTTTCATTTGGAGTTATAGAGTTTATAAAACGAAAATCAATTTCCCTTTCTACACACTACTACAATAAGCATATGTAGGAGCGGCTAGCGATGGTTTGTAGAGGCGGTTCGGCCAGCCGCCCCTACCATACCGTCTCTACAAATCATGCATTTGTAGGGGCGGTTCCCAAACCGCCCCTATAAATCGATTTGTAGGGGCAGCCGTAATACCAACCACCCCTATAATACCTGTTTGTAGGGGCGGTTTAGTCTAGAACCGCCCCTACAGTACATTTTTCCGCAAAAAAATCAAATTTACAATTCAAATTCGATCAGAACATATATATATATATATGTATATATATATATATGCATATATAATTCAAATCTGACCACAAGCACAAGAGCATTATATAAACTACCATTACAAGTCCAATTCACAAGAATATATACAATCCATCATTAAATAGATATAATTCATAAGTCTAATTCGTTCCGCAAGTCCAAATCGTCCCACAGGATAAGACCAATGTCAAATTCTATACACATTATTATCAATGGCCTAGATATAGCCTTTCAGTTTCATGAAGGTGTTGGTACTGAGGATTTCTACCTAAGTTAGAATCTCGGTCATGGTAGGTGCCTTTGACGTGTACAATCTGGTCCAATATGAAGTTGCAAAGGTCGCCGACGAGCTCTAAGAGTTGGTCATCCTTGTATGGGTCTCTTTTCATTTCTTTCTCTTCTTTCCACTACAAGAGAACAAGTTTCGGTTTAGCATTTCATATTATGTGCAAAGTTTTTATACTATGGGTGAAGAGGTTCAAACTTACCCTTAAGGGGTGTCTCCTGTAGGCACCGGTGTTACTCATCATAGAACATATATAGTATCCACAATGTACACTCCCAGGCTTCTGCTTGGGGCACTGTGTGTTTTGCATATAGAAATGTTAAGTAATGCTTTTGACAGCCATGTAATGGAGTACTAAAGTAAGTTACACTTACCGCACATAGTATTTTTATAGCCAGTCTTTTCTTCCTTACTGGATCATGGCTTCCATGATGTTGATTGACATAGAACCTAAATGCCCTGTTCGAATTATTTTAGCAAATACAACTTGTTAGTATCCAAAAGTGAACGTTACAAGTATGTATACAAATATATAAGTTAATGAGTATTATCGATATGTATATGTCTTGAGAATCGATATGAAGTCTTTGTATGTCACCAGGTCCCTATCCATTGAATTAAAGACCCATGCCATGCTCCTCCCGACATCGACGCCTATACAAATCTAGTGGTTGCTGCATGAATTTAATCATAGAACTAGATAAGCTCTTTTGCATCGAATAAAATATATCGAACAAAGCTTTAAGTATAGAGTTGAACTTACTCGAAGTTGTATGGTAGCCATATAGTAGAGTGCTGTTGGAGATTTTTAAAAGACAGGGCAATGTATGTTGAAACCTTAAGGGACTCTTGCCTTAGTTTCTTCGCATGGATGTCCTCTTTCTCCCGAAGGGTCTTTCTAGCAGCTAGCTCTTTGGCATCCAGTTTCCATTGTCTAGGGTAATTAAAATTTGTTTGTGTTATAGCTTGAGGGTCTATATACTCGGCTTTCACACTTGGCATTTGTTTTACAATGTGCACTTGCATTCTACAAATCACGATGTGGGTTAGTTACAACAAAATCCAAAGATTACATTCATATCATATCGGGAGGACAAGGACTTACAGGAACCACGTGCGAATTAGATTCATTTCCATTACTCCGAGGTGAAAGCATGTCTGCATGTCATTGAAGTCAAATATAATTTTCACCGCTGAGCTTCCAAATGTGCTAGTGGGGAAGCATGCTTGTACAAGGTCTATGCTCGTTAGGAGAACACACAAGTACCAATCATGGAACCTTCTCATTCGAAGTGGTAGGCGTTGGATGTCTCGGTTTGGTAGAAAGGACTTGCCTCTTTCATATGTTTTCGGGCAATCCTTTGACCATTTGATGGCATCAACATTTGGATACTGCTTTCCTGTTTGGTAGAGTTTGCTAGTGATAGCCTCCTCAGAAACCCATGATGGGACTTTTTTAACTTAGTTCTCAGGCTTGAACTGGTCATGGGCATACCACTTGTGCATCGACAAGACATATTTCATTAGAACTTAAATTGGCCTTATGGTGACTGGATGCTTCTTTCAAAGTTCCCATTCAGACACGTCCTCATCTTCTTGTGCATCACCTTCTTCAGGAGGCACTCGTTATTCATGTATCGGCTACACTTGTTGAGAAGACTATGGCATCTCATCATGCACTTGCTCGGTACAAGCTGGAGAAGGTTGTGGCTTATCAGGCACATGCTCGCTAGGAGGCGGGGAAGAATG